GCTCTTTTAGATTCCAGAACTACATTTGATACTATGTATGTGTGTGTATACTATACATAAGTGTGTGTATACTATACATAAGTGTGTGTATATACTATACATATGTGTGTATACTATGTGTGTGTATATACTATATGTGTGTGTATATGGTGTATATATACTATATGTGTGTATATATGGTGTATATATACTATGTGTGTGTATACTATGTATGTGTGTATACACTATATATGTGTGTATATAATATATGTGTGTATATACTATATATGTGTGTATATATATATACTATGTATATACTATATTTGTGTGTATATACTATACATGTGTATATACTATATATGTGTATATACTATAAGTGTGTATATACTATATATGTGTATATACTATATGTGTGTGTTTGTATATGGTGTATATATACTATATGTGTGTGTATACTATGTATGTTTGTATACTATATATGTGTGTATATACTATACGTGTGTGTATATACTATATGTGTGTGTATATACTATATATGTGTATATACTATATGTGTGTGTTTGTATATGGTGTATATATACTATATGTGTGTGTATACTATGTATGTTTGTATACTATATATGTGTGTATATACTATACGTGTGTGTATATACTATATGTGTGTGTATATACTATATATGTGTATATACTATATGTGTGTGTTTGTATATGGTGTATATATACTATGTGTGTGTATGGTGTATATATACTATATGTGTGTGTGTATATGGTGTATATATACTATATGTGTGTGTATACTATGTTTGTGTGTGTATATCCTATATATGTGTGTATATACTATACGTGTGTATATGCTATATGTGTGTGTATATACTGTGCGTATACTATATGTGTGTATATACTATATATGTGTGCATATACTATGCATATGTGTGTATATACTATATATGTGTGTATATAATATAGATATGTGTGTGTATTACCATACACATGTGTGTATATACCATACATATGTGTGTGTGTGTGTGTGTGTGTATATATACTATATGTGTGTGCATATATACTATATATGTGTGTGTGTATGGTGTATATATACTATATGTGTGTGTATATATACTATGTGTGTATATACTATACATACGTGTGTATACAGTGTATATATACTATATATGTGTGTGTGTATGGTGTATATATACTATATGTGTGTGTATATATACTACTATATGTGTGTGTATATACTATACATATGTGTGTATACACTGTATATATACTATATATGTGTGTGTATATGGTGTATATACACTATGTGTGTATGTATGTATGTATATATATATACCATATATATACTGTGTGCATGTCTTATTTATTTATTATTTTTACCAAAAATTAACCAGTTCTCGATCGGGGTGCTCTAAGTTTGTTCCTACCATCAGCTCACAAGCTGTGGTCAGCCCATGGTGAGCTCGGAGGTGAGACCTGGCCTCTCAGACACCACAGCCGTCCTTTCCAGGAAACGTGGTTCTCTGAGGTTACCAGCCAAACTTCCGTGGCCACCGCTGTGCGTCTGCCACCCTTCCTCGGGACCCTGATTCACCCTCGTGGCTCTGCCCATCACAAGCTCACTGCCCACCCTCGTGGCTCTCGTGTCTGTGGTGAAGCACATCTCAGATGTCGCGACTACAGGAGACAAGTTCCCTGCGGCAGAGATGGCTTTTCCATCTTTACAATGGCTTGCTATATTTAACTTGGAACTTTCATAAAGGAGTGTGAAAGGCTTGTTAGCACTCCGTTCTCCATGGTGTTGGCTTTAATAGTGCTGCCTGGGGTCTGGGTTACCCACTTACAGCCCAACCGTAAGGAGCCATGGATTCCTGCTCCTTTGCTAAGTTTGACTAAGACTCCCCTCCAATGTTGTGGTCCTCCGTCGCTGACACAGACGTAATGCTGCAGGGCCGGTCTCGCGAGCTCCTGTAGCCCAGCTCAGCTAAGGCATCATTGTCCCTCACATGGAGGTCCCTACAGTGGGTGGGGGCAGAGGCACCTCACGCTGACAGCAGGGTCTCTTCCAGAAGCTCAGAGAACAGCAGAAAATAAACTGTCCTTCCTACACTGAGAGCTCAAACTATTACTTGCTGGAACAATCAGAGCGCGTCTTCTAGGTTGAAAATACAGCTTAGGAGAGAACCTGTGTGCTTTATAGGCTCAAAGAATCTGGGATTCTGCTTTTATTAAATTGCAGGACATAGGCCTCGGAAGGGGCTGCATACTCCAATATTTCTGCTCTTACCAATGAGTAATACAATTTTCAAACAAATCATGCATTGCCACCAGTAAGCCTTCGCAGAAAGCATATGAGAAGTAATTTAAGGAGGAGGATGATAGCCTTTGGAGCCAAACTGCAGGAGGCTTCGAGGATCCCCCAGTCCATGTAGCGGAAGAGTTCTGCTGCCCGTCTCTGCAGAGGGCCTTCCCCAGCACAGACACAGTGGGCCTGTGAGGCAGTGTGGCGCTCAGAGCCTTCCTGGTCATTTGCTCATGTGTCCCTCTGGAGCCGCGTGAGCTCAGGCGTCTCCATCTCTGAGTGCAGGCAGGGGTTGTGGGAAGACAAAGAGCGTAAGCGCCGCCAGAGGACCCACACCGGGGCTGGGCCCCTGCCACAGCGGGGACTCTGGCTGTGTGGACCCGCAGGAGGTGCTAGGCAGGGCCCCTGCCCTCCAGGACACAGCCCTCGCCACCTGTTACCAGCTCACGTGCTGCCTGTCCTTCCAGGAAGAGCCTCCAGCCTTCTGTCCCCATAGCTGCTGAAGCCATGCCATGCCTGTGCACACACGTTTGCATTTGTGCTGTGTGCACATGCACAGGGGCGCTCCACATGTACTAGGGAATTTTCACAACTAGGCACATATAGATAAGAAACACACAGAGAGACACAGATAAATCTGTAATTGAAAACACTACAGCATAGTATTACTTAGGGAATTGTTTCTTAAGGTATGATATTTGGTGGTGAATTTTAACTAAAAACTGAATTTATTGCTAACAAACTAAGATAAACTCGCAGGAGATGATCACACGCACGTGATTTGTATACATGAATATTCTCTTAATTTGCACTTTGTTGATTTAAAGTGAGCCTGGAAGCATCTAGAAACCCTGGCATGCCACAGTTGCAAACCTGACGAGGCACACAGAGGTCGCTGTCTGGTGGAACGCTCGGGTCTTCATGGGGGGCCATTGTGCTGCTTTTGTGAGGGGAGGGTTTTGTCCTTTATAAAATGGGGACAATGCTGTCACACAGCAACCGGAGCTCTGAGGACCAGGGCCACCCATTGTCATCCCCACCTGAAGGGCTCCCCCTTGCCCGCAGGGCTGCCTGTGGGCCGGGGTCAGCTACAACCCAGGGGAGCCCGTCTCCCTGTCCCCTGTCCTTTGCTCAGAGCATCTGATGTGACATCCAATCAGCTGAAAAAGCTGCCAGACGTCACCAGTGCTGTGCGCGCGCGTGTGTGCGTGTGTGTGCGTGCGTGTGTGCCTGCGTGTGTGCGCGCGTGTGTCTGTGGGGGAGATGGAGGGAGCGGGAGGGGAGGCGGCGGCCATGGGCTGCGAGTGGAGTCTCCGTCAGGGCAGTTCTATTGATCTGCGACCCACACTGCCGCGGGGGGCAGAGGCAGGGACACGGGCAGATGGCTGCACACGGGCGCGTGCAGCTGCCGGGGTGGCGAGCGGGCTCCCGCAGCACCGAGACTGCTCGTGACTCGCGAGGTGTGGAGGAGAGGGGGGTAGCGTGAGTTCAGGCAGACTCTTGGTTTAATTGTTAAGCCATTTCCCACGAGATGTGATGATGGTCTCATTTCCAGAATGCCTTGAAAAAACAAACCCTGAACCATTCGTCAGAGACACCGAAAAGGGCTGTTTATCTGAGGATGGGCTGAAAGCTCTGCCTGAGGATGCTGGGTGCAGCGGGGTGCTGTTAGATCACTGTACCCGCGAGTGGTTTTCAGTTTCCTATTTTAATTCTTGTGTTGCGTAATATGTAGGGTACAGTAACGGGCTGACGGGATGCAGGGCTGGAACTGGGCTTCTTCATCCCTCCATGCCTTTCAGCATGCCCACTGCGCCGGGAGGCGGTCGGAGCTGCTGCCTGTCTGCGGCGAGGGATTGCCTAGCCGTCCTGGCATCTGGCCGTAAAGATGGTGTCCTGGTCTTTGAGACATGTGCGGTTATAACTAGCCTGTCTGCCCCAAATGTATAAAGCGTGTGCACCTCCCCACCCCCAATTGCAAAAGACTCCGGGAAGTTCCTTTTTAAATGACGGTGCCATCGGGGCAGTCTGCGTGTGAGCAGAGGAAGCTGGGAGACTGGAGCCAGCCGCCATCTCCCCACGGCGCGTCGGCACCACACCACAGTCAGTTCAGGGGAAAAGGGGTGATACCTTTTTAAAAACTGAAAGGCAGTGAGCCATTACTAGCAAGAGTTATATTGAGCATGCTTGCCAGACAGGGAGCTGCTGCAGCCCCGCCCAGACGTGTGCCTTGCCATTTTCATTTTAATCAGCCTCTCTGCTCAGGCTGGCTGCTGATTCATTTTGCAGGCCGTCCCCCGGGAGCCGGTGGAAGCCCGAGGCAAGCTGCTCTTGTATCTGCCTAGCGCACCCCACACCCGCCGACCCCACGTCCCCGCCGACCCCACATCCACGCCCAGCGGGAGAGCCAGGGTGACGGGGGAAGGCGGGAGGGGGAGGCTTCCAACCCTACAGCCCGAGTTCAACATGGCCATTTAGAAGACCCTCCATGAAACCGAGTCTATTACGGAAAATGAAAGGAAGGAAAAGAAAAAACAAATGTCACATTGTCATGTCGTTATCCAAGCAGCCCTCCCTCCCCGCCCCCGCCCCCGAGTGGCTCGGAATCCGCTGGTCGTCACGGTCACTGTAGAACACACACACGTATCGCTTACCTGGGGGCTAGCCGGGTGGGGTGGGCTACCTGATCTAGCTGGAGACTTTGATTTGTGGGACTGACAACCTTATTATGCAGTGAGCTTATTATTGATATTATTCTGCTCTCGGTTGCCATGGCCACCTTGTGAGAGACATTCAATTTTCTCTCTTCCATCATCATTATCTATGAGGCCATCTGTTGTGGAAAATGAATTCAGCCTCATTTGCATGACTGATAAGCAATTTTTTTTTTATCTATTTAACAGAAGGTCATATGCCGGGGATTTGGAGCCTGTGAAAAAAAATGTGGAAAAAAAAAAGCCTCAGCGAGGCTGAGTGGGGCTGCGTGCATGAGGGCTGTACGTGGGGGTGAGCCAGACCCCCGAGGCCCGTGAGCCTATCGCGGCGTTTGCCATCCCTGCCCGGGCGACATTTTTTTTCCCTAAGCTACTGCACACTGACAGAGCGGGGGAGCGTTTCCCTGCAGCCTTCCTGAAGCCCTGACTTTTCACCCATTGTCAGTGGGTGCGTTTTATTTTTTCCTTCCCTGGACTATGGGTTACGATGTCAGTACTCACTGAAGACAAAAAGCAACCTTTCCTGCGTCTCGTGGTAGGCACAGTCCTCGCCGTCGCCCCACTCGTGTGGATCAGGGCTCTCTGCCTCCGGGTGCGTTGAGCCAGCAGTTACTTGCCTTTCACTCGTGAGCCGGGTGGTCATGTTGTGAGGTATGTGACATTCATTAGGTTAATTTTCTGGATTCGGAGGACAGGACCTGTGTTACTGCGGTCCATGGTCCTCTGCTGCAATTCCATTGTTTGCTGCTGTTTAAAGTTATTTTGATAGCGTGGCTGGTAGCTGGACGGTGCCTGGGCTGGAGGTTCTCCTCTGCAGAAATCTGTCTTTAAAGCGGAATGGGTGTTAGGTTGCATGCCTTCACTGCGATGTCGTTTACTAGAAAAAGCAAAACAAAAAACTTGCTGCTTGTGCATAGCACTCAGAGGGTCTGAGGGCTCTGAAACAAAACTTCCCACAGACTCCTGGATAGCTTTACATTGCAAATGCAGTAGGTCGTTTTACAGAGAAGTTAAAATCATAGATATTCTTGATGCACTGTTATGTTTGCCAGATGATAAGAAGAAAGTTGATGTTTATTGTTTACATTGATAAACTCAAATAAAGATTTTAAACTAGAAGCTAAATGTTTGAAGTTTATAATAATGAAACAGCATTTCACTTAGAGCAGAAATGATTTTGATGTCACTTAAATGAATGAACCAAAAGTTTAAACTGCATACTTCCACTTCAAGACAGGCCACAACAAAGCAATACGCATGTCTGTAAATGCCCATTTAAGAATGAGGTTCATAAAATATACAGCCCAGGCTTTGGATTTAGTATTATTTTAGCTTGGGCAATTTTTCACCCCACTAAGACTGTGTTAGCTGTAGAATTTCGTTGTTAGCTCTTCACTTAGAGTAAAAACATCTTATATAAGAGCACTTTTTCAAGTGTCCATGTTTTTACTGAACATCATATACAGAAGCACGCCATGACACCCTTACAGGTATAATTAGCTTAATTGTTCAGCTTTATGAAAGTCAGGTTGCTTTGTGAGTGATAAGTAGAGGCATGTCTTTCAAACAGATAAGAACGTGTTTGCTTAAAACCGTAAGTGTCTGCCATCGTATTCTTTTCTGAAAAACAGCACCACTGCATTCCTGTAAGTTCCCACCTCTCGAAAACTTTGAATCCAAAGTGTTGATTGTATATTATAGATGCTACTAGTGACACATTCCAGAAAAAAGAAGTTTGTTTTCCTGATTGACCTAAAGAAACATATAGGCTTCTGTCACCTCAGAGGCATGCAGTTGACTGGCTAAAAGTCTTTGTAAAGTGACACTTCAACAATGAATTTTCTGTGTCACACCAAGTGAGCTGTCGATGATACGTTACTGAAACTCTTGCCACTCTACATAGATTTCTCATAAGCAATCGCAGTGGTTACATAACCTCTCCTTTTAAACTCAGCCATTTTTTAAATATTGTAGTTTGAAGTTTGGACAAGTACGTTCGTTTTAAGCATTCATTTCACACTCAGCAAGTTGGAGACAATAACATCGTGGTAGCCTGTAGGGATGATTTGCAGTGGCACGGGCTTTCTCAGTGGACTCTAAGCTCAAGCATTGTAGAGACACTCGGATCTGGGCTGGAACATGGAGGGTGGCATTGCTGTCTTCTAATCAGTACATGGGGTCTGAAGATTCGTCAATCGAAATTGTCAACTTCTGAAAAGCTAGAAGGTAGCACAACTGATCCCCCCACCGAAAAAAAGTTAATTACCAATCTTGGTTAGATTCTTCCTGGCCTCCCTGACATTTGACTGCTTCTAATTCACTGATTAATCTCATTAATGTGATTACAGTAGGATTTAGAGTTGGCTACCATTGTTCTGCAGACACTGCTATTCAGCCCAAGCACTTGCCACCTCATTCAGTTTTGCTGTGATTTTTCAAAGGCTGGTGGAGTGAGCCTTTGTGAGCAAGACGTCTCTGCCTCCCTTTTCAGCACCAGGAGCTGTCCGCGGCTGGTAGGGGTTGCGTGCAGCAGGGGCTGACTCCCTGCTAGCCAGGGCGGGGTGAAAAGGCTCACTTTCATCACCTTATGATTGTGCTTATTGAGGGAGAAGTAGGAGCAGCCTTTATGGTCACAATAGATGTGAAGATGGTGCAGCCAAGGTCTCTCTCCTTGAAGACTTACTTCGCACAAGTCTTCCGGCTGCCGTTGCCTACACGTTCTAACCTATTTTTGAAATCGCCGGACACGGATTCAGTAAGATTACTTGTGCAGGGTCATTTGGAGTTGGGAAGCTGTAAACGTTTCTACTTTTCAAATGAAAAAGTCTTTATCCAAGCGCGCATAACTAACAGTCAAATCTAGTTTTTGAAAAGATAAGCCAGGATTAGCTGGTGGTGCAGTAAGGCAGAAAGTATGCATGACACGTACATTTCAACTTCTCTCGTTGAACTTACACCAGCAGCAGAACGCGTGGCAACTGCGCCATTTGGGTCAGGACCTGAGGTCAGGGTGGAAGGGCCAGTGAGGTGCTGCGTGGGAGTGGTGTCGTGTCCCACAAGAAAAGAACCCACAGCCTCTTCTGGGCGATGAATTAGACAAGCATGATTTGGGAGCAGGTGGGTGTTTGGGGGGATAAGACTTCAAGGCTTCGCTTACATTGTTCCTGTTGTGTTTTTCGCCTCATTTACTTTTTGTTCTTTTGAAAATGTTTATATTTTGAATCTTAGTATTGATGCATCCAGTTTTTCACTATCTGACGGTTTGTGTCTTTTTTTGTTGTTGTCAACTTTTAATAGATCAGGGAAAAGAAACGATTGTGCCACTTCAAAGACATTTGGGATTTTTTTACTCATTAAATATACTTAAATTCAAAATGATTATTTGTTCATCTGCCTTTAAAAATACTCCATGTGTACAACTTTTAACGACCAATTACTTCTGTGTGAAACATTCATTTTGTTGAGTAAACAATATTTTCAAAGGCACATGTATAACCAGACTTCCAATTCTGCCGATAAATCGACCTAACCTGAGGGAAAGTTGTTGTTCTGAAAACACATACTGTGTGATCCAAAATGTTTTGTTTACATACACATCGGAACATTGCAGAGGCTACAGTTTTAGCTTCAAATGACGGAAAGTTTCATTTACTTTTAAATATTTTATGTAAAAGGGCTCAGTAAGAACTGCGGGGAACAGCCTCCCTGCTGTGCAGGGGGCTGGCTCGCGGGGTGGCCCCGGGGGTGCAATGCTCTGGTCCCCAGTCAATACCAGTTTTCCAAATGCATGAGTACTTGGCAGGCAGTCTACCTTGATGTAAGGTCTCACCAGAACTCTGTCCAGCAAATGAAGGCAGATTCAGGAAAAAGATACTCAATTTCTGCTTCTTTCCTAAATGAAAATACTCCATAGCATTAATTGAATGCAATGGCATTATGCAATTTCAAGTTTAGGCTTTTTTATTTTCCTGGGGGAAACTGTGTAGCCTTCCTTAGAAAACAGTAATGAATAAACTTGAACAAAAACTTGAAAATGATTAGCATATTTTTCACCAAGCTAAGTTTCATCACACTGTATTCTATACCACAAAGGGATTAGTCTGTATTTATTCAAAACTACCTAAAGACAGAAGCCACCGAAAACTTAAAAGAAAAGATACAGAGAGGTGTGTTGTTGCTATTGTTTGGAGGTTTTTTTTTGGGGGGGGGGATTTGGAGGATCATTTCCAAATGTCATTTGTGGCTGGTATATTTTAAAAAGACATTTCAGATTGGCAAGCCTCCCCATTTCAGAAATATTGCCTGAAATGACCACAATCCATGAGGCAATAATACCAGGTACCCTACTTTCACATAATCTGTCATAGATTTTCCGGCTTTCAGCTTATTCTGAGTACCAGCCGTGTGTCTGTGCCCACAGAAGGCCGTGGCCCTGGCAGCGTGGCTCAGTCTGTGTACCTTTGTGCCCTCCTCCCCTCTCCCTACCTCCCTCTCCCTCTCTCTAACTCTGCCCTGCTTGTCTCCTCCGCCTGCCTCTCTCCTGTCTTTCACACCTGCATTGTTCCAGCACACAGTGAGGTTTCTATGCGTGTTTCCACCATGCGACTGTTTTGCGCTGTGACACCCTAATGAGTCCTCAGGGTATCTGTGGAAGTGATCAGGATGGAGAGAAAATGTAAGCCAGGTGGCAGGGAAGTCGGGAGAGTGCACGCGTGCTTACTTATGCTGAGGCACGCCGAGGGACACCGCGCTGGCTCTTCTGTCGGGGAGCTGTTCTCACCATGCACCTCTTTTTAAAACCCCAACTCCCCACGTGGCGATGACCAGGAAAGTTGGGAGGGGGAGGGAGCTACCCCGTGCTGGGTGAGGGGCATTGTGCTGCGGGAGATGGAGTGGCACGGGGTGCTCTGGGGCTGCTCTGGCCGAGGCTGCGGTGGCTGCTGGCAGGCTCGGTGAGGGGGGCACAGCCTCCACAGGGGCCAGGATCTGCTCTCAGCACGGGCGGCAGAGGCTCCGTCTTCAGAGGAATTACCTTGAGAGCTGGAGTCGTGCTCTTGGTAACTCGGACCTGGTGTCGCTCTCCCCACTAAACCACAGCCAGCATTGTGTCCCGGGGAGGCCTGCTGCGGCTGGCGGGGCTCTGCCCTGCTCTCGCTGCTGGCGGCGAGCTGACAGAGGGGAGGCTCTGGAGGGTAGGGGTGAGCAGAACGGACATGTGGCCGGCACCGACATGCGACCGTCTCCCTGTGGCAGACAGAGCACCGCACGTGTGAGAAACGGCTGCGGAACCGGATTCAGCCTGCTGGCTCCCGACTCTGCTCAGAAAGGTACCTCTTCCCTTCTGCTTAAAGGGTCCACGGCATTTCTGATTTGCCTGGTTGTCACGGCTCCCAGCCCTTGAGAATTATGTCAAAGGTTCTCTTACGACTTCAGCGCACAGCTGTTCCTCACCTGTCTGCCCGTCCTCTGCACTCAGCTGCCCTCCCTGCAGCCCTGCCCGTCGCCCGACTTGGTACACAGCCCAGCCGACAATGGAGGCTCCCTCCAGCAGAGCTGCACCCAGCAGCTCTCCATTGTGGGCGCCGCCGTGGCCGCACGCTGCCTGGAGTTCTTGCTGAACAGGAGTCCGTGTGTTCGAGGCTAGGCTCTGG